GATTGGCTACTTGTGCTGTGACTTTTGGGCATGTGCTGTGACTTTCGCCGGTTCGAGCGTCACCATGCGGAAAAACAGCATTGCAACGACTTTCGACGGCCTGACGCGACTTAGGGCGACCACCCAGTAGCACATGATTTGGGTGTTCCGTCTGTGCAGACCGGCATACGTGCTGGATGCCAAGACGGCTCTGTGCGGGACACAGCAGCAGCTGTTGTGTTGTGATTCGCAGCCAGATTGCAGCACGCGGGCTGTACTGAGCCTTGAAATCAGGCCGATCAGCTTCGTTGTGCCTGCTATGTGTCCAGGGATAGGCTTCATCGCAACGTGCGCACAATGCAAAGAGTGTGACGAAGACACACGGTTTGTTTCCTGATAGGTGAAATCGCAATGGGGCACGGCGCTCTCAAGCGACTTAGCTTTGCTTTTCCCCAAGCGGAGGGATGAAGCAGCCTAACGGCGTCTCATTCCATGACCAACGAAGCCAGGAAGAGGAAGCAGCTGGAGTGTCACCCTCTGGAGCGCTTTCTGGAGGCAGCTGAGAACTGCCGATCAAGTCTTACCCCATCTGCGAACGCATGCTGCATGAAAGGAGTGCCAGCAAGAATGGGACGAGCCACCTGGAAAAAAAACGCAGATCTGGGGCAAGCTGCAAGACTGACTACGCAGTTGCTAAGGTATGCGAGAAAATGGAAGGCGGACGACCCATCTTTGAGGGATCCTCCAGCCTACCCATACTCAGTCGCAATTGCGCGGCACCAAGGTATGCACTCACTATGCTTCGCAAGATCTGACGGCCGAAATATCGTACTCTCTTGCGTGCGTGCGTGTGTGTGTGCGCATTTGCTTGCGTGCGTACGGAATGCTCCAGATGCTGCTTTGTTTATGCGTGGATCTGTCCCGCCTGCAGTGCCTTCAATCCGAGTCCGAGGTCAAAGGGCTCTTAGCGAAACACGCAGCCCTTGTCAGTGAGCAGCCAATGAGCTGATGCAGAATCGATTAGCTTCTACGCCGCAGGCGAAAAGAGCTTCCGTGCAGAATGCCGGCATGACATTTGAGACAAGCAAGGTTCTGTAAGAATGCCAGGTTTAATTGGCCATGCAATGTCATGATTATGTTGTGATGAGTAGCCTTTCTGCCAGGCCTCTGCTGATTTCTTTGAGGCACGAACTCGGGCAGTCGTCACACGCTGGACAGGCACGCAGGGGGTGTTCAGAGCAGGTCTGACGCAATCTTCCTTCTTCTTTTGCTGCTCTGCTGTGCTTACAGAAGTTCTAGACTTCTCGTTGGAGGTGCTGAGCTGCGTAGTCAAATGGCGCTTGGCTTTGGGACTTGCCAAAGAACGCAAGGCACGGTGCTGCGCAGGCTTATTCGTGGGGGTAAAGCGTAGGCCGAGCTGAAGGAAAGATACGTGCGAACATACAAGCTGCTCTTCTTTTTGGGACCTCCTACCACAAAGCAAGTTCGCTCCCAACCATATTCCGGAAAATAGGTCCAGACCAGCATAACTGACAGCTTTCCGCATTGATGGCCTCTTTGCATCAGGCTCCTCCAGATGTGCGGTCGGCTCTTCGTTTGCAATGCAGAATGTGCCGGTACTTAGCTTCTTCGGCGAGTGTGCATTGAAGGAAGCGGAAGAAGACGACCTGGGAGAGGCGACTGCAAACACCGCGTGTGAACGGCTCTAAAGGGGAGTCGATGAGATCACCGAAGCCTTGGAGAGATTCCGTGACAAAGCAGGATGCAGGCGCAGACCAGGATGACAGCAGAGAGGCAAGGAGATGTTGCCGGAATTTCTCAAGTTTGAAACTGAAGCGATTCGGGAGAGGTTTTTGTCGCTTCTTGTGGCAGCATGTCATTCGGACCCGGCAAGGTTGATCTGACCGATGTTGAAGTTTAAGCTTAAGCCTTGAGGCTGCTGCTGATCCTGCGTCGTCAAACGCCGAGAGTGATACTGATGGCGAATAAGCTGACCAAGCGGGAACCTTCTGTTTAATGTGCTTCGTGACAAGTTAGTTGCATAGCATTAATTTGCATCCTTGACATTCTGGCAAATGTGTGAGGACATGGGCATGCAATCCTGTGGCTATCTCTTACTTAGCTTTCCGCATGGCTGTGCTCCAAGAGCATGCCGATTGCAATCGTTAACGACGCCGCACGTTGCAGCCCTGGAGCGCTGCGACTCTCAGACTCAGTGACCTTCACTTCTCACGCGATTGAGAAAGAGGAAACCGAGCACAAAAGCGAAGAGCTCTGTTAGCCGAATCCAGAGCTCCCTCCCTTCGGTTCTTCGGGCACCACATCAGCACTACCTCAGTAGGGTGCCCTCGCAGGAGACTGGTGACGAGGACGATGACGACAGAGCCTCAGAGATCGAACGGCTTTTTGTCTTGAGGTTATCCACTCAGTGAGTGCATGCAAGCACAATAAGGGGATCGAGAAGTGCTCGCAGATTCCGTCAGCACATCCAGAAAATGCTGCGCTGCAGTCCACAGCGTGTAGGAGGGGATTCATCGTAACATCCCGCGCAGTATTCTCAGGTCCAGGTACGACTCAGGAACATGCGTTCTGGAAAGATGGTCAGTCCATCACCGCATATCACCGCATGCGCACGCTCGTGAGATCTGGCCTCGACTGGCCATCACAGCCGCGTCTGAACTATTACAAGTCATTCCAGCAGGCACCGGCCGGCATGTGAGGTCCAATCCGGGTGCTCAGGGTGTGGTTCGGGCACTTCAAAGCCAAACGTAGAGCTCCAGCTCTCACAACGAAGCCGCCGACGTCATTTGCAGCGGTGTCTTCGGAGGGTCGTACAGAATGAAAGGGGCATGCAAGTGTGGCCTCGGCGAGAAACCAACTCGTTCTCCCAAAGCATCTCTCATTGCAGCACCTTCACTTCCTCCAGTGCGAAAGGGAAATGGCAGGATCACCGCTTGGACCATTGTAAAGATGACGAAGCTTCCTGTCCAGTCCTCATGCTGTCATTCCCGTCCACGTAGCTCCAGCGGGTCCGTGGGTCATGCAAGCGCATGCGCGGGGCTTGGAAGAAAACTCGCCTACCCAAGCCAATTCGAATCGCGAGGATCCCAATCCCGAGAGCTGCCCAAGTTTCCTGGCATGTGTCTGTCGACAGTTCAAAGCGAAGGGGCCCTGCGTTTGTTGCCAGCCTTTGCAAAGCAATGCCGAATCTGTGAGGATGGAGACAGAGGTGGAGGCGGAGGTGCTTGGGGTGCTCAATGGACCGCGCGGAAGGTCGGATTGGAATCACAGTAGTCAGGACAGCGACAGCAGGGACATTGCCTCTGCAGGCCGCTGCGTCATCCTTGGACAACATGTCCCACATGACTCTCGCCTGCAATATTGAATCGTGATGGACAGTGACTAGGACTAGGATTCAGGGTGCCAGCCAGATTCAACAAAGACTTCAAGCTGAAGGGCAGGAGCCGCTGATGAAGATGATGCGGATGATGATCATGATGGCGACGACGACAGCACAGCAGCCACCATGACGATCAAGATGGCGACGATGACCACGAACACTCACTGATGCACCGCTGGGATTCGTGTGACCGACCAACTGGCACATCATTAGTTGTCATGCACGTTTGACCGAGCTAGAACCACGAGTGCATGCCTCACATCGGGTAAGTGTCGGCATGTCCCGCTGTCGAGGTTCAGGGGAAACATCCTAGAGGCCAGTCAGTTCACTGAATGCGCTGCCGAATCACTTGACTCGCGGCCTGGCAGGTGACCCTGCCCCTGATTCAACGAAAGTTGGAGGATCAAAATTGGGAGGCCTGCTGGTCCGCTTCATTCAACATCTCAGTGGCAGCCTGTGCCAGGTTCAGGAGTCTGGTGTGCTGGCTTTGGGGGCAATTGCGTTTGGCTGCATGGTGCGGCCAAGCATGCACGGATTCGCAACACATGTGCCCTGTGCAGAGCTTCCAGCACCTGTTTATGGTTGGTGCAACTGGACAGGAAGGACTGATGCAGTTCATGCCGAAAGCCAGACACCCGGCAATGGTTGCCCTCCCAATCCTTGCGTTGGTCTGCAAGTTGCAGGTCATGGATCATTTGCTTAAGCATGGCGCTGAGTCATGCTGAGACCTGCAAATTCAGCTAAGTGTGCAGTCATTCGTTTGATGTTTCCGAGGCTTTGCCAAGCTCCGAAACCTCTCCTGAGAAGTATTTCCTGCTGGACTGCCTGCTCTTGGTTCGGGATAGGGATCAAACAATCCCCTTATCAAAGAAGTGTGCTTAAAAGCTCATCATAGCAAGGTCAAAAAGAAATCAAGCAGGGATCAAAATCAGACGAGGGATGGAAGGCAGACAGGAAGACAAGCAAGGAAGTAAGCAAGACAGGAAGAAGCCAAGCCTCCGCCTCCCCTCCCCCCGACCCCCGCCGCAAGACATCTTTTTAAGCCGCCCCCGCTCCACTGACAATATGTCAAAGGGTGTGCTTTGTCTTGTTTATCCAGAGCAGACAGGGTGACCAGCACATGAGGCGTGATGATAACACAGCAGTTTCATCGTGGTCCGCTGGTTCTCTATCATCTGGTCATTGATGCGTCATTTATGCAGGTGCTCCCTCCATCACAAGCCCCCACCCATGCTAAAGCGGCGCCAAGCAAAGCTCCCAAGTTTGCCAAGAAGTCTGATGTACCCTGGCAAGAAGCAGTTTGGCTTGGCCGTGATACTGAAGCCGATGAGATTGTGATAGCAACTCCAGAAGGTGCTCGAAAGGTCCGAACCATTAGAAGGTTTTCACCGTCATTGCAATGGAAATCAGAGCCCCTGAAGACACTGCAAGCATTGCCTTGGAAGCCACGTTTAACACTGCCCCCGCTTATGCTTTGTACCATCGCTGCTGCATGCTGCTGCACAGGCTACATGCTCATGCGCCCACGGCTCAGAAGCCTAGGTCCCCAGGTGCAAGAATCCGCAGTGGAACACATCTTGCAGAAGCTGCTGCTCGTTCATCTTGCAGTCAAGCTCTGAATTCCCCGCGAGATTCCCGTGCTCTCGTCAGACCTTGCTGCACATGATAGTATGGCTACTGTACTGTATTACCAGTACTACTAGTGTCACTAGTACTGCTAGTACTAAGTTACTACTGCTACTCCTGCTACTCCGGCTCTTCCTCATCCTCCTGCTCCTGCTGCTGCTGCGGCTGCGGCTGCTGCTGCTGCTGGTGCTGCTGCTACCACTACTACTACTACTACTACTACTACTACTACTCCTACTGCTACTGCTACTGCTACTGCTACTGCTACTACTATACTACTACTACTACTACTACTACTACTACTATACTACTACTACTGCTACGACTATACTACTACTACTACTGCTGCTGCTACTACTACTACTACTACTACTACTCCGACAATGGTCG